ATCTCTCAAATAATATGTTATCTGGACATATTCCAAAGTCACTATGCAATTCAAAATCTTTGAGATATCTTGATCTCTCAAATAATATGTTATCCAAAAGTATTCCCAATTGTTGGAGAAATGATCAATCATTCATTTTTATTGATCTATCTTCTAACAATCTCTTAGGTTTATTTCCGAGCACAATGGTGCAGCTTTCTTCTTTAAGTGTACTGCACTTGAACAACAATAGTCTCCATAGGGGACTACATGTGGCATTGAAAAATTTCACTTCCTTAGTGGTTTTGGATTTGGGTGAAAATAAATTTTCTGGAAATTTAACAAGCATTATAAGGGGGGAGATCGGCAACCACTCTTTAAGGGTTCTCCGATTGCGAAAAAATTTGGTTTCCGGTTATATTCCTTTGGAGTTATGCTCTTTCTCTCAAATGCAAATTCTGGATCTTGCAGATAATAATTTGACAGGAAGGATTCCTTCTTGTTTTGGAAAGTTTCCGATTATGGTGGACGCAACACAATTGACCTATGACTTAAGTGATGGATATTGGGATCAGGCGCCTTTGATGGAGGTTGTGAAAGGGAGATTCCTTGAGTATGAAAGACAAACTCTAAGACTTGAGATTAGTATAGATCTTTCAAGTAACAATCTAATAGGATCCATACCAGAGGAGCTAATATTCCTTAAGGATTTGCACAATTTGAATCTATCTTGGAATCATCTCTCAGGAAATATCCCTGAGAAAATTGGACAAATGGAGAATTTGGAATCTCTTGATTTCTCCAAGAATGGCCTTTCAGGAATGATCCCAAACAGCATGTCAAGTTTAACCAAGTTAAGCCACCTCAACTTGTCTTACAACAACTTGTCAGGGCCAATTCCAACAGGCTATCAACTCCAAACACTCGAAGATCCAACCATGTATGCTGGCAATCCTCAACTCTGTGGAGCTCCACTCTTGAACAAATGCTCAAATGATACACTACCTCCAACAACCGCCAACTTCAAGGGCAATGATGAAGGTGCAATTAAAAGAATGTGGTTTTACATTGTCGTGTTGTTAGGCTTTGCAACTGGATTCTGGGGAGTCGTGGGAACTTTGATTTTTGTAAAAAATTGGAGATATGCTTATTTTCAATGGGTGGATAATGTCCAACATTGGATTCTTGTGGTTATAACATTAAAGGTGGCACGATTCAAGAAGATGTTCAATGGCAACCAAGATGGTCAGTGAGTTATATATGGAGTATGTTGTTATTGCTACATTTATTATTAAGTTAGTTGGACAGCCCTGTGTTGCAAGATATAGTTTTGAATTGGCCAATTTTAAATGAACACATAAGTATTAGAGTTTGTAAAGTCTTCAATAATATAACATAGGCTGTAGCTCTATAGGTTTCACAAAAATAAAAATTCATAGATTCCAACAAAAAATAGAGAATTCTATGCAAGGCTTAAAGATTGCATGGATTTCTATCTTTCCAGTTTTGTTAAAAAGAGACAATAAAAAAAAAAAAAGAAAAGAAAAAGAAAGCAAGAGATGAAGGAATGAGATAGGAAAAGCAGCTCAACTGAGTAGACAATAATAGCCAAAATAAAGTTCTCACATATTCATGGTCAAAGTTTGGAACTTTCAATCACTTACAACCAAATCACTCAATCGAGTATCCAATATAATGCAACTTTTACATAAAATTCCCAAGTCTTCAGTATTTTTTAGAACACATTTTCACATTACATAAGGCATATGAACTACAGACACATAAAACACTATCAAGGTTAAATAGTGAAGTTTGTTATGTTTTTATATTTATACAGTGTAATGCCTAATCCCAATTGGGAACAAAAGTAGATTTTGAGTGGTATACACATATGGAAACTAATTAATATTAACAACTCAACTTTGAACCAGAAATATCACTATAGGAGGTAGTCCTCTATATGTAATGGGTAGGGCTACCTTCTGTACTCCTATAATAAATAATATATATATATATATTAACAACTGAACTTGAGATTTAAGGTTTAGGGTGTTTACATGCCAAAATGGATGGAGTCACCATCTATCCAAATGAAGTGGGATAAATGACTAAAGTTTACGTAGAAATTGACTAGATTTAGAGGGTCGATTATGTATAAGAAAGGTGTTAGGCACCCCACAACTTTCATATAAATATAGTTCCCACATACTTTAATTTTGGGTAATTTTCAATTTTTATAAAAAAAAATAATAATTATCAAGAAAAATAAGCAAACAAAAAGAAAAAACTTCAATTAAAACACCTAATTGTCTTTTCCCGTTTCTATTTTTCTCCCTTTTTTTCGTTTTTGTTTTCATTTTTTTTTCGTTTTAGTTTTCTTTTTTTTTTTTTTTTGCATTTTGCATTTTGCATTTTTCCTCTCCTTGCTCTATTCTCGTTTCTATTTTTTTTTTTTTTTCTAATGCATTCCTACATCTAGCTAACAGCAAAAGGAAAATGATTTGCAATTGCTGGATTGATTTCACCAAAGATCTTGGGTTTGTCAACATCCAAACAGAAGATGAAAAGAAAAAAACGTGTGATTTGTAGTATGGAACTTGACAGAAAACCATGTAAAGAAGTCTAAATTTGCATGGATTACTTAACACAAAACAAGAGGGATTCAAATTAACATGACCTACTTTACTAACACAGAATTACCACATAACAGGAGGGGAACAGACAAATGAATGCAACAACAATGCAACCAATAAATGTTATTTTCCCAAAATAATTTGTGGATAAACCATGTAAAGAACCAGGTTAATATAGCAACCAAGAAACAAAAGAAATGAAGAAAAAGGAAACAGATACAGAAAATTGAGATTCGAGATCAAATTCTTCCATATTCTTAGAAAAAAACACACTTGAAATGGAGAAAAGCCAATTTACCTATTTGCTGCAAACTTCAAAATACAAGGTTTCTTCCTTCCTTTGCTTCACACTCTCTTTGCTGGCTCTCGAATTTCATCCCCCCTCTCCCTCAATTTTTGAATGCCCTTTCTAAAGCTAAAGAACCCCCTTTTTTATAGACAAAAGGGAAAACTCAATCCTATTTGGAATGAGATATCTTAGTACTTCCCGCATATACCCCTTTTCAAGTCTAAATTCATACCTTTTATGTAGGACTCCCACCTTGAATCAATTTTAGACTCTTTATAGTTGATGACTTATGGTTTGTAGGTCTTATCCAAATCCTTTGATTGGTCAAGCTTGTCTTTCAAGAAATCTCCCTTGGCATCATGATTCAACCAAATTGACGTCGATGAAAAAGGAAATTTGAGAAAGGAGGTGCGGCAAGAACAAGAGAGGCTAGGGTTCGACAGAAACACTAGCCTTTTATTTTTATTTATGGCCCATTGGCAAAACGACAACATTTTGCCATTTGCTCCTCTCATCCCCTCACGTTTTCAGCTTTTATAAAGACAATGCATTGATTTCTAATTTTACCATTTAACCCCTGATAAAGTTAGGTCATGACATAGAATTTAGGGCTTAAGATTTAGATATAGATTTTATATAAATAAAAAGATAAATGATTGAAATTGTAGACTCTACCTAGTACTTTTTCGGCCCGAAGCGTCTATTATTCTCGTGAACACAATGTTGGTTAAACCCAATTTAGTTTCTTCTACTCGGCCGGACTAGTATATCTTTCATTTGGGCCAAAACAGTATCTCTTTTATTTGGGCCCATATTTACGGACACGATGTTTTGTGGCACTAACAGGACAGATTTCAAAATCCCCGCAAAATCCAGGCGGGAGAGCCGAGTTTCACGGCCCCATCTTTCCCGCTAGCCTAAAACCACGCTTCCCCTTTCTCCATTTGTATTTTATATATCTTCTTTGTTACGCACTCCTTCTCTTATCCTCTTTACTAATCGGGAGTCAGAGCGTGGAATTTTCTCAGAGATTCGAATCCAAAGGCGCTCAGTTTGTCGATAACTCCTTGGATAATGCCGACTATCGCTAGCCGCAACTCGTCTCCATTCAAGGAGATCGTGACCGTCAGATCGGAGACAAGCAGGGGGACTGTTTGGATCTGAAGCCAATTGCACCTCTGGTAAACGGAGATTAACATTTGATGTGGCGGAGGCGGCGGTGCAGGAGGGCCCTATCTCTACTCCGACGAAGATGAAATCACTTCGCAGATGCACGAATTCGAGTCCAAACAGCCCTGCAGATGTCAGTTGTTCTTTCTATGTATCAATATTTGATGCTTTGATTTTATTCATCTAGATTCTTCTCAAAATTGATCTAATTAAACAGATTTCTCTGTAAATTTAAGCTTGGTTTTTATTATTTGTGTTGGTGCATTTGGATCTTTTGAGGGCTCAGTCTACACATTGCGGATATTAACTTATAGTTATCTACAGGGTAGCAAGGAAGATTGTGGTAGTAAAAGATTAGCAAGATTGTGCAAATCACCGGTGAAGGGATCGCACAACAGTTTTCACCTTAAGCAGAATTGGAATCCAAGTGGTAGGCTAATTTCAGTTTTCGTAATCTTGTTCATTGTCTTAATTGTAGTGTATGGATGGTTAATTGATGCTAGTAGTGTATTGATTGTTTTTTTTTTACATGCAGATCCTGAGCAAATGAGTGCTGTGAAGGAGGCACTTCATTTGTCTACAGCACCTCCTACTGTCGTGTGCCGTGAAAATGAGCAGAAAAGGATTTTAGAGTTTTGCAAGGGATGTTTGGAACAAGAGAAGGCTGGGAGTTTATACATATGCGGATGTCCAGGGACTGGAAAGTCGCTGTCAATGGAAAAAGTGAAGCAGTATGTGGTTGATTGGGCAAGAGATGTATGTCCCTTTGCTGATTTCTCCATTTTGTTTCTTTGAATTGTGATACAGCATTGCCTGGTTTCTTGGTTGAGTAATATTATGCAAATGATGACATTGTTTGTTATTTGTATGTTTGTTTTGATTTCATTACATATTCATCCTTGTTTCCTCTAGCAGGAAGGATTGCAGCCACCTGATTTATTAGTGATAAATTGCACTTCTCTAACAAACACAGCGGACATTTTTGGCAAGGTATTGTTGTTAGGGATGATATATCAAAGTAAGAATATTGACAGGTAGTAGATTCTTACCTGATGATTTGCTTCACAGATAGTAGATAAGCACCAACAAAAGAAGAAAACTTCACCTTTGCAATATCTTCAGGAAATTTATTCTCAAAAGCAGCAGTCATCTGGGTCAAAGATGTTGTAGCCATGTAGGGACCTCATCTAGTTATGCTGAACTAAATGCTTTTCATTTTCACACTTTAAAAGATCAATCATGTTGCCATAATGATTTTTTCCCAAATTGAAGAAAGAAAAACTGTCATTGGAAATATGGTCTCTTCTCCCTGCTAATTGGCCCTTTTTTTGGCAGGGTAATAATTGCAGATGAGTTGGATTATTTGATCACAAGGGATCGGGCTGTCCTTCAGATCTTTTCATGCTTACAACTTTTCCTTTCTCTTGATGTATATTGATAGGTAAAATTTCTATAGTTAGTAAGGCATTCTGTAAGGTATTAAGAATACCTTACTAACACAGTGCAAAAGATGCGGCCAAATGGAATTTGTTTGGTTGGCTACATCGTATAGTTGAAGTATTTACTCAAACCAGTGCCAACATGGTTGACTACCACATCTCCGTCTTACTCAAAATGCTAAAATCTGAAGACAATTACCTTCGTATTTAAGTACCCTATATAAGTAGACCTAATTTATTAATTTAATTTGTTTCTATAGCATGCATCATGTCAATAACCAATCATATAATTGATACAAAATGTGTGTGTGTGGGTGTTTGTTTACAGGATGATACATTAAGTGGGGTGTTGGGTTCAATTGATCTAGCAACAAAGAAGAATTTGGATGATCTTGTGGAAGAAGGGGAAAAACTTTTGAAAAAGTCAGTTTCTAAGGTTAATATGGAAACGGGTTTGATTGAGCCTTGTGGTCAAGGATCTAATGAAGAGACTCTCAAGAGGTTACAAATCTTAATTACCCCTAATTAATTTCTTTAATTGATATAATATATATAATTATTCTCATACTTATGCTTGTAAATTTTTTATGTTACAGGTTTGCTAAAACACTGTCCGATGAGAAGCGGAGACGCAAACTTAACTCATCCCATCTGCACACTGCAATTCCAAATAATGTTAATAATAATTAGATACTAGAAAATTTTCTTTATTATTATTATTTTTTTGTGTATTAAGATATGGATTCTTTAGTTAATCAATAAGGTTTTGTATATAAAGAATTAATCAAATTCTCTGCGATAATTATGCCCATGTTGTTTTTTTACCTCAATTTGATTAGTGATTAGTGTAAGTTTGTAATATTTTATCATGAGATT